TTCTTTCTTATTAGAATGACATAATGGTAGAGCATTCCGGACGTCTTGAGGGAACCAACAATCTGGTACGTCTTATATACTAATAGTTTAAATGTCCATAGTTTGTAGTTAGGTATATAAATAAGTCATTTGATCCGTTACCTACTTTGGACTGTTTACGTACCTAAACAAAAGATGATAACGATTATCTAATGCTCCATTTGTGTTTCAGGATCTGATCTCAACAATTCAAACGAAGTTAATATATTTAAACCATTGTTTCCGACAGTCATTATCAAAAGTCCTACAAAAGATGTAAGTCTATTTGACCTTTTATTAACTAAATATTTTATTTATTTTTTAAAGCATAACCTACCTTTTTAGTATGATATATTTATAGACGATATAATTATAGAAAGTAACAACTGATTTACTAAAAAAGAATTATTATTTGATTTATTTCAACCTTATTATTTCTTTTTTTATTGCCGTGGTAGTACAGTAGAAGTGTATGCGACTGCTGTAAACGAGGTTGTGGGTTCGATTCCAATTTTTCTTTGAAGTTATTCATTGAATTAATTAATACATTTGTGTAATCATACGTACTTCTATAAAATATGTATTTTGGCGCAAAAATATTAATTCTAATGTGCACAAATTATTTTCAGGAATGCGATTTTATTGAAAATTCGGACTGAAAAATCTTACGCGATTCTACAATGCGTCGAAATATTAAATCAAGTACATGTAACAGAAGTTTTAAGTAAATAGGTGGGAACATTTACTATTTTAACCGATTGTGTTCGTCTATAAGTATTTTTGTTGAAAGGCTTGGATTTTCTTACACCGTTTTGATCTATTTGTTTAATTTCAGATTTCTGAGGAAATTAATAATTTGGAGGCTGAAACCGAAAATATTGCGCATGAGCATGATATTCCAGGAAATGTGGAAGTGCGTTATTTCAAACACATGCATGTTGTTTCAAATATAATTAAATAAGTCGATAATATTATATTTAGTATTCAATTTCTGATAAATATATAAATAATTTTGTATTTGATTAGTATAAGTCTAAGTACAAGTACCTATTAACTTGTGATATCTGATCTCTAGGTATACTTAAAACTATTGCCTTTTCATTTTTTTAAGACTGATTGATCTCAGAAGTTTGTGCTTTAATATTTTGTTAATGCATAAAGTTGTATTCTTGATTTCGTGATTAAAAGTCCTTATAAAAAACTATTTTTGTGTTATTTAGTTTTACCCGTAACTTCCATTAGTGATAATTATTGTGAGATAATACTTAAAGCCTAGCGGTAACGTTAGCTTAATGCAAGATAAGACACTTTAGTTTTCATGGTCTGACTTGACTGGGCCTGATAAAACATTTAACTTAGACGTATTAGTATGCTATACAGAATATAACACATTTTTCTAGCTCATTTTATGCAGTTTTTCATTCGTTAAAACATGTTTTACCTGAGCACGGTCAGTACGGTCAATTTTACCTAACCAAGTCTTAACCGGACCGGACCGGACTTAAGTCAATTTTACCTAACCAAGATTATATATTGCATTGTATTAACTCCAAAATCTTGGACACGAAGACACCTAGATTTTTTTCTATTATTACATTTCATAGTAAGCGTTATTCGTAATAACTATTTTGATTTTCAATGAAAACGCTCAAGCAATTAATTAGTAATGATTTTTTTTGCAAAATTTGAAACTTCAAATCGCTCTACTCAACAATTCATATAATGGCGGTTAATACATTTTGCCTTTCCAGCGTCGATTTTTCAACATTCCGTACCTTAACAAAGTGAACGATTACGGGATTACGTCACTCTTCGTATGTGAGTCTGTCTGTGTATCTTGTTTGTAAGTCCATTTTTAAGGCCGTTCATATGTTCATTAGTATATTTATCTGTATGTTCATCTCTTTGGGGTCTTGAAGTCAATTTTTCAAGAGACTATGAAGGCATCAAATCAAGTTTTATTGGAAAAACGTTATCTTTCAAAGTTTATTATTAAAGAATTTGAACGAACATATTTTATGCTAAATAAATAGTAAACTTAAAATAAAAAATTTAAATTAAACAAATATTTAAGGGGGGCTCCCATACAACAAACGTGATTTTTTGTCCGATACGGAACCCTTCGTGTACCAGTCCGTCTTGCATTTGGCCGGTTTTTTATTAATAACAAAAAAAAAAAATATTTTATAACCACACGTATAGTGTAGAGATTTTATACTAAACAAAAACCTTGTCACATCGAGTGAAAAGTAGTAAAATTGCTATCGGGGATTTTTTCCTGGTTCATGTATGAGGTTTGCATATAAATGAACACTGTAGCTCACCTATAAAGGAACACTGTCGAATATTGTGAAAATACGTGCATGTTTTTCCAATCATGATAACAAAATGTTGACTTAGGAATAAGAAAACAAAAGGTAAATATAAATTAAAACCCTCTGTACTACAATCATTTAAATGTCAAGTTTTAAAATTAAAACTTGTGAAATCAAATAAAATGTTAAGATAAGTTAGAGAAATACGTTTAGAAATGTGCAAATGTCATATGTAAACCTAATGGCACGATAGCAACAAGAAAATTAAAACTTGTGAAAACAAATAAAATGTTAAGATAAGTTAGAGAAATACGTTTAGAAATGTGCAAATGTCATGTGTAAACCTAATGACACGATATATCGGCTGTGCATCATTTTAGAAGAGAATTATAACTTAATTCCCCTTTTAATCTATTTCATGTTAATGTTTACACCGTTTTAATTAAATTCAGAGATTTTAAATTATTCCAAATAGTTGAACAGAGTTTAAGACAACGATATCAAAGTTTACATAATCATTTTTTGAGCTAGGCTTACTGCAGAGTAATGTATATCTAAATAGAATAAGATTTCCAATCCAAATTTTTAAGTAGAAAAACACAAAATTAAAGAGTAGTAGAGCTTACCATAAAAGAGTACCGCAAGGATAAACATTAAGACCACACTTTCTCTTAAAACTCAGTTATGACGTTAGATAGTGATAAACCCTTGCAACAGGAGTTATATAAAATATATACGCTATTTAATTAGCTTAAGCAATCTGAAGTAAATAAATTAATTGGCGATGAGCCTCAGCTTTAATTCTTGTCAACTTTTATCTATTGACAAATATAGCACCAAGAAAGGTGAAAGATGGTCTTACCTCAAGATTAAACATTTCCACCACTATTATAGTAGGAAGTCCCCAAGCCACACCATAGCCGAAGACTACGACTGCTAATGCTGCAACCGGTAGCCATCTTAATGATGTCACAGTCAAATCTATTTGCGTGTAGACCGACAGAACACCCATTGACAACACCATTGTGATGTAACCAAAGGTTAAGATATACTGAAAGAAAATTTTAACATTTTTATAAATTAATTTCTTCAAAATTACTTTATTTTTCACATCAAAAAGTGTTTCATCTATTTTAAATAGACAGATAACATGTTTATTAATAATAACACAACTATGATGTTACACTTATTTTCGTAATTTCCTAATCAATGATTACGTAAATCCCATGATATTCTCTTATGCCCGTTTTTTACTAGGAACCGCCTAATGACATTAATACCCATTTTCACTAAATTAGAACAAGGCATAGCTTAACTCGCTTAAGCAGATTAGTTTGATTCCAAATAAATATTTGTATCACCTGTCACCTGTGACCTGTCATATACACAAACGCCTAGCGCAAGGCGCCGCATAACGAAAATCATAACTTTAGACATTACTTAATGTTCTTAAATGGTTCTTAGTAATCGGTGAAAAGCATTTTTACCTTAGGCGATTCCTAAGTTTAGTGAAAACGGCCATTAGTAATGTCTGAATTTATGGCATGCATTATTCGGCACCTTGCACTAAGCATTTTCGTAATATGACAGACTGATCACAAATATGACATGGGATAAAATAAAAAATGTTTATTTGGAATTAAACTAATCTACTGAGGCAATTCGTAAGATTAGGCATTTCCTAATTAAGCTATGCCTTGTACTAGGTTAGTGAAATCGGTCATTAGTCTCTTAAGGAGAAAAAAATCTGAACGAATACGTTTTAAAATAAAACTATTTCTTTATATATCTCTTCATATGTGTCAACTTGTTATTTTGCAATTTTATATAAACAATTTTAACGTTTTTATTTATCAATAAGTAGCAGGAGACGAGAGATATACGCCCAATTTGTATGTTCTATTCATCAATACTATTTACAATCACCTTAAAGTAATATCATGAAGTCACTAAGAAGCATTTTATAGAGTAATCTAAAATATTTGCGTTTTGAAACCGATTCATAGTCGATTTTTTTAACTAAATATTTTAAAGGGATAACCAAATTTATTTGTTGCTTTATCTTTTTTGGAACTGACAAGTGAGTAACTTTTAAATTATCAAATTAAATTGTTTCAACACCAGAAGATCCAAGCTCTCTATTTCATTTGTGGTTAATTTTCAAACGAATTTAAATTTACGCGTCTTTGATGTGCAACCAAAGGGTTTGAGGGACCCTTCGGGATAACGTGTAATTAAAGTACTGAGAAATCATTCTTTATTAGGGAAACCTTTGAACATCGAGATTTTAATGATTGAAAGGAATATAAACTGTTACCATATAAAATATGATTATTTTCCTTGTTTGCTAGTAACATATCAATTTTTTAACATTTACCAATTTTGTTTTGTTATTTATTAAGATTACAATTATTTTTTTGAGTAAATAAATAATAATAATCCGTACTTGTATATGGTTTTATTTGATCGAGCAAAATCGCCGAGTAAAGTCACAGCACAGGTTTTCATCAACCCATTTAGCAGTAATATATCAAGCGCCTCTCGACGTTCTGTATTAATAGAACTGTTCTAAAAAATTTGAAAAGTTTGAAAAACTCGCCGAAAAAGTTAGTAAAGCAAGGTAGTGAAATGCCTGTGAAGTATCTAGCCTTATGGCACTTAATTCTCTCTCTAATTTAAGATCCATGAGTTCTAAATATTATTATATCATTCTAACCAATTAACTTGTAAATAGGTCATCAAAATGAGGTTGGTACTCACTTTCCTCTCAGCGTATAAAATCAACAGTGAAGTGAAGAAACTGCCAACAAACATTGCCACCAGTACGAGCACTCTGTCAGGGTCCGAAGGTATCTTCAGCTGCAACAAAGTCTTATCTTGGTCCAAGAACATTATGCTACCGCATAAAATCATAGTTGTGTGGACTAGCACTCCAATCTTTATAGCGTCTCTCCAAATCAAATTTCTGACTGCAAAAGAATTAGGCAGAATTCATATTTTTCATTCCAAATACTGAATAGCTCGCTGACGTAACAACACAATTGGTCTGAGGCAAGAGTAAGCAACTTTCGGTAGGGCTGATCAGAGGAAGAGTAATAAAAAAGTGTTTTTCGAGCTCCTCCGTGCTTCGGAAGGCACGTTAAGCAGTTGGTCTCAGCTGCATCTGCAGTAACTATTGCCTACAAATCCACACTGGGCGTTTATTTGATAAGATTCCATCCATAAGGAAAGCTTATACCCCTACATACACCTAATAAAGTGTGATGATGATTACTCCAAATACTGAGACATCATCATCTTACTGATGAAATAATTACACTTAAATTCAAATTACAACCATACGACCAGAAATTCGTATGAACATTTCACACAAGGGGTTCATATTGTGATTATATTCAACTGTAATAATTGTTAATAAAAATCAAAATAAAGTAAATAGTAATACTTTTTGATTGATAATACAGCATTTCGTTAGGTATCAATACATTTTTAAAAGTGTATTCTCAACACTGTACTGTAAATCTGTTACGATATTCGAACTCGGGATATAGTTTCTTAATGAATATAATGTGTACTTTTCAGATTACCCCCTTTAATGGATTGAAATTTGTTAATTCAAAAGTAAAACTTAAATTTCATTTTCTCTTCGAAAGAAACATAAAGAAATAGGACGGTTTTTTCTTTATTCAGAACAGGCGTACTCGTGAACGCTAATTTGCTTTGGGAGTTAATTTCGTCGTTAATATGCTAATAAATTTAGCTGCCAACATCAAAAATAAAATTAGTAGGTAACAGGTAAGTTGAAAACGGTAATAATATTGTTAATGGAAAATACTTAAAAAAAAGCAAATATTTCAACTTTCGATAAAGATGAAAATTTGTTATAATTATTATATTTGATTATTAATCTAGCACTTGTTACTTTTAAGCATTATTCATTAAGAATATTTTCCAGTATAGCATTGTGAATGCGAAATTGATCAAATATATTTGCTTTGTACTAATTATAGGAAAATTCTGATATTTTAGATTAAACGGAGTTGAAATTTATTTTAACAAGAATCATTTAGCATATTCATGATTTTAAGATAGGAATATTATTGCTATCAATAGCGAAATAATAGTTGGAAGTCAGCGACTATACTTTCAACGATAGCTTCATCCGTGCGCTTATTAACGCATCCTAGGAAGATTATGAATAATATCTAATTTGTCACAATGATCAAACCTTCATAACAAATTACGAGTATTTAGTTAGAGTTTTAGAGTATGTAGGATTCGGGATCAAAATTAATGCCAATTAAATTCACACTCAGAATTTATTTACATAATAAAATTATAAAAACAAATCGTTTACAAAATACACACACTCCGCTTTCACTAATTCACGTCACTATTGTTACTTCACAACACTATCGTTTGATCAGTGAAAATGCCGGGACGGATAGCCCACCACGTATTTATAGGATCCGAGGTAGTCTTTACCACTTCTAAAATGTTTTAGATTAGAATAGATAACCTTCCAGGCTAGGAATGAGCGTTGAATGATCGAACCGTCTTTTTAGACTGTTAATTGGATATCAATTGATAGACTAGTTTACGGTCTACTGATAAACTAGTTTATGCGTGAACGTAAGTGACAAGCGTTGTTTGAACGATCCAACGCGATACAAATGGTCAGCGTGGTCACTACATAAGTCTATTTCTTTCTATTCATCGCGACCGATAACATGCTGTCTGTCTCACTTGCTCGATTACATTCAATATTCATAGCATTCAAAAAAAAAAGATACGTTGACTTTCTATAACTAAGTCAGGAATAACAAAACAGTTTCTAATCTATCTGACCGATCTAAGCAAACGACCCTGTCCACTATACATAAAGTTTCGCTAAATTGAAATACCTAAGCGTTAACTTCCTTGTCACCTTCACCTGTCACACCCGGTGGCCTGACATTTGGGCTTTAAGCTTCCTAATATTTACCGGGATAAGGGACAAGGGTGGCGGTGTTCGATAAAACAATCAATCACCTTTCACCTAGCCTTTCCTGTTAAGTTTACACCTGTACAGGTTTACACGAGCTAATGTTACGCAGGAAACCCAATTTGCTGCTTCATTTTGACTAATTTATGTACAAAAATAGAGTTTCAGTTCTCAAATAAAACTCATTTCTCTAGTATCGTGCTTATTTATTAATCATCTATGTTTTAATGTCAGAATAAAGACCTTTAATCCGTGAGAACATATGAAATACTTTTAATAATCATATCGTGTTTCACAATTCATTTCATTGACTAAATTTTGTAAAAAGTCAATAAGTAATATAATAATAATGTCATCTTTAGCTTTTATTGGCAATGTACCATATTTACACTAATTCATTCATTTAGTACACCATATATTGTTATATTTCTGATTAATATGATATTATGTTTTAAGTGTCATCAGTTAAAACCGCCTTACACCCAGTTGCACAAACATCGATTAAATTGTTTATTAGTTAAAGCGACAAACTTTCAAATTTAGAACATTCTGTAGAGTTTAAAGTAAACCTTAACGGACGATTGTGAAACCACAGTGTCAGTAACGTTAAGTCATAAATGTTGGTTACGCGGCTTTATACTTTCCAGGCGATATATAAAAAGTTAGAAACATAAAATTAGAACACAAACGCCACCCACACGTGCCTAACGTACTATAAAAATTCACCAGAAAAATCGTTCTCGGATCTGGAACGTAAGCTGACGTAAGCAGTCATTTCCCCCGATATCGTTTAACCCTCCCGTGGATGTCATTCGTAATTGAATGACATCCAATCACAATAAAAGACATAGATTTATGATACATGCTCGTTTGTAAGAATAACGACATAGTTCAACTGTGTACGTAAAACTGATATTATTAAGGTACTTTACGTTTTGTTGAACAAACTTGTGTAAAGCAGGAAATTCACTAGGTGGGCAATCTCGCGGGCAAGTCTGCGGCAGGCCAATTCTGCTAATGTCTACGTAATATCGCATCTCAATAGAACCTCAACGGCTTGCATTTTACCATTGTACTATACACCTAAAGTCCAATGTCATTTGTGCAATGTCTTCATTATACATCAATAGTGACAGACATTTAATTATATTAGACTGAGGTAGATAGTAGATACCATGACAAAATGTAAGTAGTCAAACAAAACAAATGTTGGATCCTACACGATGGCCCTACACTAGAGATACGTGCCCGTACTATAATAGCGAAGCCATGCGGGCATGCCTGCAGACTTGCCCTTGGGCCGTCTAGTAATTTCCCTGCTTTAGACAGAGATAGCAAACAAAACGACTTATTTTCTGCTGTAACTTCTCTTATTTGTCATTCGTGCTGGATGTAGCTTTCCGTACATATCTGAAAGAATTTAAGAAATCGGAGTTTCGAAGCACATTCAATGAGAAAAAAAGTGTCATTCTTCTTGCAAACTAGATTATACGGAAGTACAGTCAAAATCGTCAACTTATACAAATTTGTCAAATTCATTAATTGATTTTAAACCTTAAAATATTGTAGTTAGAGTTGAAAATCAATTGCAAAAATTGATATATTTTGGTAACCCGACGTGCTTCAGTGTGTACATCGTGTTTTATTTATGTGGAACTTGTGGAATATCTACTCTGTAAAGAATTCAGCGTTCCGACAGTAGACGTGCACTTTGAATACAAATAAGGGCTCTGATTAATGAAGATCGAATGAATTCTAAGCAGGAAACTGCTTCCTGAATGGATGTTAAAAAGTAACTGTAATGACAGATAATTAAAAGAAAACATTTAAAAAGGTTAGAACAAATAGGTTGGAGCTTGCCTTACGGTCCAATACTTTTAAGGGTTCTGAATCATAAATCATTCTACATGATCCCTTGTGGGCTTGGCAGAGAATAATAATAATATATCATTAGTATAATAGTATAATCTATTTTGCAACTAATAATAGTGACCACAATTTATGTCGATGAAATTTTTCAATAAAAAGTTTTTTCTATTTTCGATCGATGCATTGGTAGTATTAATTTAAGAACTATACACAATATATCACAAATATGAGCCAGTGTTAGTTTTCCGTGTGATTTCGCTCTGTAGCTTTCATCTCTGAGAGTCTCGAGACATTTTATTAAATTTGGATTAATTTAAGAACTATAATCGTATTACATTGTATAGGAGACATCGATTCGCGGTTGACTGATTTTTATGGTAACAATAACAAAATATTCCTCTAAAGATGCCAAAAAATATTCTTTTCATACGATTAGATCTATTATTTTTTTCATTTATGGGTTATTATTTTGGTTCTTTCTGTCTTAAAATTTATAAACTAATGATTTATAATAAATTATTTACGTGCTACTAAAATGTCAACGCTACAAATATATGTATTAAATTTAATCTTTTTTATTCAATTAATTGTCCTCAACATGAACATTTTAGAGTTAACAAGTCACGTCTGAGGTCCTCAAACTTTTCTTGGTCCACTTGACGTTACTTCAATCTTGTATGGACCTGCTTATCTTATGTTTCTTTTTTGCATATAATTTATTTTGCATATAATTTATTTTCGAAGGTTTGCCGTTACGTGGTAAACAAATAAAATTTTACTCGATGTATCAGAATAAAGCTTCTATAAATTTAAAATAACTTGCGATTATAAAACAAATATCTGATTATTATCTTCAGTCATTATTTTTCCACAACCTTCCATTCCATTGCATTCCATTCCATTTAATTTAGTTGCAAAACCAATCACATAATGTGTCTTCTGAACCCTGGGGGCAATTAAGACAACTTAGTGTTTTTTTTAATCAGTTATTTAACATTTACATTTATCGACTTGACAAACTAATTATTGAGCCATCGGATTTATTATTATAAATTCTATTATTTATTTTTTTAATTTAAGAATTATACAAAAGAAACGATATAATATAATGACCAGTTGCACAACGGAAATTTCAATAAATATCTTTGTATATAACTTGCTCCGTTAATGAAGTATCAATCAAAATTGTGATTTCAAACGACTTAGATACTGCTTCGGATCTTCTTTCAACGACTTCCAATTGATTTTCGCGTCGACGCGACCCCTGAGGGTCAGTCTATTTTGAGTATAACTGACTTACGCAAACATAATTAAAGAAAAGGTCGAAGATAAGTAAAGTCCATTTATTAAAATAACTGGAAAGGGGTCTTCTGGTTATTACATTTTAATTTTCTGTGGTTTTTAGACATTAAGAATCCTTTGCAGGGCTTGTTTTTGCTTCTCTTTATTTGATACCGACATTTGGTGTTGACAGGACAACGACTATAGAAACAAAGTTAGTTTATTATTTCTACACACCTATCTTGAAACTATCTCCTTATTAAATATATGATTATCAAAATATTACTATAAATGTGTTAAGATATATAATTAATGTTAAGATTTAAGTTACATCTGCGATTTACTAATTCCAAAATACACCCACTCTCCATAGTTCCCTTTCTCCATAGGTTATCATTCAGATATTGCTGTTTAGCTATAAGGTCACTTTGTATTAACTCTATCTTGCACCAAGCATTTGTTTTCAAGTCAAGATTATTTATATAATTTAATTAAGTTTCTAATATATTATTCACAACTTACAATATATTTTTCTTAGTTTGGCATGAAATACATAGATAACAATGTTTATATATATCTAAGGCAGCGGCCTCTTATAATTAAGCTGTCTCCTTAATTGATTCCTATTTTTTAAAACATATTCCAATATTATTTGGACTATCATAAACTTTTAATTGATTTTGAATAAAGAAATAAATTCCAAATAAACTACAATAAAGTATTAACTTTAAAACGGAGAAAACAGCATCATATGTCTGAAACTATTGATTGGAACAAAACGTGAACTTTATAAAATTTCTTCATAGTTAAAAAATTCCAATTTAGCTGAAAATTCATGATTTAGTCTCTATTTCTTCTCATTAAAGGTAAGAAATACATCAGTAATTTTAATGGTATACGAATGAATTATTTCATTATACGAATATAATAGTTTTATCCTCTGTCTCTATCTTGATTTTATTTGAGTCTCTTTAACAGATCTCATTTCGTCGTTTTGTTATTGTATTTGTACATAGATTTAATGTAATTCAGAAGACTAAAATAAATTGTAAAGCTCTTAGTATATAGGTCTCTGAGGTACTTATCGCCCACCTATCATCCCACCTACCATCCCACGGGAATCCCTAAATCTAATTTATATTTAATGTTCGTCACATTTGAAATAGTTTAATTTGCGAGTCCAATACTTAAGAACCTTTACGACCCATTTTCGGTGCCAAAATTGAATTTGTTAAATTAATTTTTTGCCAACAAAATAGTTTTTTGCAATTAACACGACAGTACAATCTGTAAACGTGCATTATTAAATCTATGCTCATGTGCACGCGCGCTATTACAATTTATTCTCAATTTGTAGTTACTATTACAAAAATATTATAACTCTTAAAAAAAAAAACCACGAAATCTAAGTTTTTTGCCTTGATAAAGCATCCAATTGAGCGAGCATTTAGCTCGCCATAAAGATTCCAATAATTTCCCAAGATAAGAATGCAATAAACAATTTATACTCACAAATATGAACCAGTGTTAGTTTTCCGTGTGATTTCGCTCTGTCGCTTTCATCTCTGAGAGTCTCGAGACATTTTATTAAATTTGGATTGTCATCTTCGAGACATTTCAGTCTACACATTTTATCTATTGCTATCTGAAAGTAGAAATAAGAATAAATATCTGAATTCTTTCATATCGCTTTTTTATCTTGAAATAAATTCAAGCCAAAAGAATATAATCAAGGCTCTAAAATACGTTGACAAAAATTAATATTTTAAATTACTATTTTCTAAATTTACCTGTATACAGACTTGTTAGTACTAGATATCAAAAATACAATATCTCTTAATTTAAAAAAAATTTTTTTTTTCAAAATAACCACCTTTGGTTTTAATAAATAAGCTTAAACGCTTTCTAAAATTTTCGACAATTTTTCGTACTTCCACTTCAGATTTTTTATCCCACTCACGAGTGTTGCCTTCAGCGCGTCGATACTTTTATGTGGAATTACACAAACCCGTGCCTCTAAGATGTACCAAACACTGTAATCCATCGGGTTCAGGTCTGGTGAGTACGGAGGCCATTCCTTAGAGCTTATGAACCCAGGAAAATTGTCCATACACCACTGCTGCATACTTAAGGCCCTGTAGGACGGAGCAGAGTCCTGTTGAAATATCCATGGTTGGTTGTCAAAATGCTGTTGACTCTAAGGAAGAACCACACTTTTCACCCCTTTTTCTACGAAAACTAGAGGGATTTTGCCTGATGCGCAAATATCGCCCCGTTCTGGATTTAACCATAACTGAATTCGGTTTTTGGCGACGACGAACTATCGCTGTGGCTCTAGGGCGGGTAAAAGAGTAAATCCTACCATTTTGGCGATTATGGCATTGTTTGATCATAAAAAAATTTTCATCGGTAAACACGATATTTTTCCAACTTTCACCAGCCGAGAGCGCCTTCAGTAAGCGGCATCTTTCAAGTCGTATTTTTTTATCGTTATCGTTAAAATGTTGTGCTTTTCGCAGCTTGTATGCTGTCAGCTTGAGCTCATTTTTTACTTCTCGTGACAATGTTGAATGACTTACACCTCATGCCATTTTTCTCACTTTGGCTTGTGGATTGCGGGTCAATCTTTGTTTGACGATATGCCAAAGCTTAGACGTTCTAACAGTTCTTTTTCTGCCTCTTCCCAGACGGTCTCCAAGATGTCCTAGCTCAACATAACGTTTAACAGTAGAAGAAACTAATTGCCGAGTGACACCATGAAGTTGAACAATCTCGCACTGCCGCTTAACAGCCTCATGTAGACAACGTTTTTTGCACCACGTTGCGCAGTCATAGTAAAAAATAATAAAATTTTGATATTCGTATAATTTCTAAGAAAATGACACTAAGTTGGCGCCAAAACATTGAATCATCATCATCAGCCCTTTATTTCGTCCCTTCTGAAGCCAACACGATTCGTTCCATTTTAGAAATACTTATTTTTTAAATTTGTCAACGTAATTTAGAGCCACGGTGTATATTGATTGTCTCCATTGTGCAGTGGTTAGCGCGTTTCGTAAGATGTATGTAAATAGATGACCAAATATTTATTATTAAGTAACTCGTAAGACACGTTAAGCATTTGGACCTAGCTGCTCTTCAATCGTCAATACCTACCACCATATTCGCGAAGTCAATTATGAATTATAGCTCATTCTCCTTATTGTCTCACTTCAGTTCCACCCTAATGAAAATCTTGTGCTCCATCAGTAGGGAAATTAATAGTTTAATAATGATGATGAATTGCTTGTTTGTTAGAAATATTTTTTTTGGAGTCAGATTTATTACAACTCCACTTACTACTCATTATATCTTTAGATATAGATGTAATGAAAAATCTAAATTTGTATTCAATCAATAAATATATATTGAAAAACGTGTTATGTACTTAAACTTCAACTGCATCTCCATTTCATTGATTGCTCTTACCTCCACCTTTCCTATCTTAACCCAGTAAGACGGCGATTCTATTAGCCATAACATCGATAGTAATTGCACCATCACCATCGCTGTCATCACATACATCATCGTTTCTAAATCCATCACAAGTTTCATCACATATCCGAGTGTCGTCATCGCTGACATCAATGACAATGAAAATCCCCTGGATTCGATAGAACTAATTTCACATATGTATATTGGAAGTACCGTGAAGAGTCCTCCTGTGGAAATTCCAGCTACTGTGTGTAGGATAATTGTATTTGTATCGTTTGGTGGTAAGAACAACGGGATACATGATATCTGAAAAATTAGTTTTAAAGCTTTAATACAGTGGATAACAGTGTGTATACAATATTTAACGTTTTTATAGTTAAGTAAATTAAGTTCAAATTTAATGCATACAAGGGCATGAAATGCTGTCACGCTTCAACTGACAAGACAACTGCTCAAATGGCAACATAAAAATCATTACCTTGGTCTACATTTGAGAGTAACGGAAGATTTGTTTTAAGTTTAAATAAATAAGGAATCTAAAATATATTTCAGACCATGATTGTTGAGATCCATATGCTTGAAGCTTTTTTCCAAGCGTATCACAGAAAAAAGCTATACATATACAATTTCACTACATTTGCGACCGTTTTTTAATAATTCGGCTGGGTTGTTATTAAATCTCACAAGTCGTAGATCACATAAGCATTTTGCGTCACTTTCCTTGGAATCAGAAGAATGGATGCAATATTTTCCGATATTTACTTAGGGTTGTTGAACGCCGCAGGCTTTCTTATTGGCAATTGTTGCATTGTTCAGGGCTTGAATCTTTTTTCACGCCTTTTCAGTTCAATGAGTTACATGGCTTTCTTATTCATTTATTTATGGTATATATAAAAGACAAGACAAACAAAACTAACCGATCCTTTAAAAGTGGATAAATCGATACTCTTATAGATATTCAATAAGGCCTAAAGCAAGCAATGATTGTTGAAAATACAATCCAAACTTTGACAGACATTTGGAATTATCGTTACTCATGAAATTGTTCATATATGTAACGTATTTATAATTAAGATAAAAAGCAAACAGTTTTAGCGCAACTTCAAAGTCATTGGCTCACTTAAGTTGTGTAATGCTACGATATATTTTCTATACTAATGTTATAAAGAGAAAAGATTTAATTTTATGTTTGCATTGAATAGACTCCGAAACTACTGGACTGATTTAAAAAAATATTTTATCAATTCAGACGCAAATGGCTAGCGCTAGCCTCAAATGTCTCTGAAATGTATCCCCAACCTGCAGAGGGAATTGCTCCGAAATGGTCTTCAGTCTGTCCCCGTGCATCGCCTCTACGGGGAGGGACATCACTGGGTTTTAGTGGGTACACTGCTATTTAACTAGCTTCATTCTGTGGTAAGTCCACAGGGGAGCGCCCCATACAACCCGCCGACTCCGCGCTTGGGGGGGCGGTTATGCGTAACACGCTTCTCAGGGTAAAAAAGGCTATAATACACATAAGCGAAATCATTAGAAAATATAACTAGCTTTTTATATACTTACTCCTTGTGTGAGACTGACGATAAAAAGTCCCACTTTCCTTCCATGCTTATCTATGACATAACAATATATTGGCGCAGTCACTGCAGCTGCCACTATTAAAGCAGTAGCATTCCATGGCACTTGTTCTGGAGAATCAATGAAATGGCCTGAATGTGCTGTAGCATAGAGTTCAGTTGCTTCCAATCCATGTGTAAAGAATGGCAGGCTAGCTGAAACAAATATTAATTTATTAAAGAAAAAAATAGATAATCAACTAACCTTTTTTCTCACACTCCTTTTGAGGTTATGTCTGTGAGTTTCTTTATTCCAGCATAACTTTCGAAATAATTAGCGAATGTAGATATCATTAGAAATGTTACATCAACCCGAGTGACAATACGATGGATGTATGAGCACATTAAAATTTAAAGAAAAGAATTTCATTAATTTCATTTTAGATTTTGATGAGTACAATCCTAGAATATATTACTATCTCTAATTAATTGCTCACTAAACGGAATAAAATAAAAATGTTTAATTTATGAATTAAAAAAAACTAGACTGTCAAAAATAAAAGAAACAAGTTGTATTATGGCCTGGCATGATTTGGCTAAAGAAAATTTTCATTGAAGTCGTGGGCTTTTAATTCGAGTTCAATTTTGGCAGTTGTGCTTTGACATTTTTAAATAATTAATTCTTTCAACGAGATTGTTTCTAATGATGGGATGTATTTAAGTTAACTTTTTGAAGTCATTATCCAAATTTTCTTATATATATATCAATAATCAAATTAACCATCCACTCAAAATTTTATATATGAGTTTTGCACTAATGTGATATTTTATTTTTCATATACTGATTATGAAGCAGAAGAGTTTGTTTGTGTGCTTGCTCGTTTATTAGTTAAAAACAAAAACAAAGTTTAATTATTAGCTGATTTTCCGCGAGATTCTATGTTATACATAAAATTCCACTTTAATTACTGCATCACTCTACTTATATATTGATGAAAACCGTATTAAATTCCATTTTGTTGTTTAATAGATCTCAGTACAGACAGCGGGTAACGACATTGATTTATACTATGAGTAGGTATATATTTAGATCTCCGTCGTCGAGTGGTTCGCATGACGGTTTCAAAGTGTAGCCATCTCTGAGGCTCGATTCCCGGTTGAGTCAAAGTAGAAAATAATCTTTATCTAGACTCAAATCGAAAAAATCGATTTACGAATTCAGAGACAATTCTATACATACGCACTTTATAAACGCATATACATAAAATTAAAAATAAAACTCATTATAGTACCGCTATCTTTTTTTATTCATTAAACTAGTCTATGGTTTTAGGCTGAATATGAAAAAAATGGCGCACACATGCGTAGTTTGATCTTAATTTCCCGCGCTTCCCATACATTTTTTGTCGATCGTATTTTTGTGTTCGGGATTCCGAAAAATTATTTCCTTGTAACCTGCCTACTTTAATTTATTTTAATTTTTCTTATGAGTGAAGATAAAGTAGTGTATGAAACTGCATAAAACTTAGGTATTAAAACACTCGGGTCAACCTTTTATCATGTTTTAATACCCCTTCTTATTTGACAGTTGCATAAACTACTATTTCTATATTTTAGCTACTCGTCTTGGAATCTGAGCAATGTATATGATGCTGTCTATTGCTGCATATTTATTTGAATAAGCACAAAGAGTAGGGGTAACAAAAAAGAGGGTTCGAAGAGTGAGTGAGTAAGATGTTCTTAGAAAGTCTGAACCCAAACAATAAGTAAGCGTGTATTTGTTACGTAACGTAATATTATATAATTAGGTTTAACTGACGATTCAGCATAACTAAGAATGCTTCCATTCCAATTATAAATCACAAACGATTCAGTGACATCTGTTGCTCGCCGCAAGAACTAAACTATTTCTCCACATTAATATTCCTGTTTCCCTAACAACGTTAATTAAATACCTCACTTTATTGCGTAACTTGACATATATAATTATTTGTAACACTTTGATAATTAACGTACACTATTATAGTATTTTAAAGACCTTTCATTGAATTTTATTGGAAAGACGTGATGTGAGGTGGTGTGGCATGATAACCAATGGTGGACGATTAAATAATTAATTATAAACTGAAGTGCACTTTTTATCATTTTAGAGCGACATAATTCTCGGATTTTGTATATCGACATGCAGGCAAAGCGTGAGTAACAGGTAAATGTCTATATATCAACCTTAGGCTGATCTACACGTTTCGCCTACTAAGTAACTTATTTATTAATTTTCTCTTAAAAAAAGGTTTAATTACAACAAAAAATTAGTAAATAACTTTGTAATTTGTTTTTCTATTGAGAAAATTATACAATATAGTTTTCTCTATTTCAATACCAGCTTGTCACGGGACTTCGTACCACCGACACCTTGGTGCAAGGGGTTTCTACAATATATCTTTTACATTTTTTAAAGGTTTTTAACGCCGTTAATACACCGACGCATTCTCTTGCGAAAGCGAAACATCTGCGAAACTATTGCGAAATCCAAAACATCAGCGGAATATGCGCCTGTGTATACTTTTTTAGCAGTTGCCCACTAAACAACACTGACAAGAACGCAGTTATTTCGTCGAGTTAATAATAGAACGAGACAAAGTGAACGCGAAATATTGCTATAAAACTGTTAATGTTTTTGTTCTTTCGCTTTCACGTGCGATTGAGTGGGAGTATTAAAGGCGTAAGACCTCTGCCCTGCGATTCTGTAAATAAACAAACCCAAATTCGAATTCACTCAGGTGTTTTACAGAATCGAGGGGCTGATCTAAAATGTAATTTTTGATTATTCCTTTTTCGTATCTTTAAATTATTGGAACGTATGTCAAAAATTTATTATGAATATCAGTTCGTCTGGTTTTTTCAATGTTAACGGTAACTAATATTTAAATTACCTTTGTCAGATAAAGTGAAATAATTTAAAGCGTATTCTTACTAATAGTTTATGGCGATCGTTTATATTGTGTTTTCTTAAATCAGATAAAGAGAGATTTTTTTTATCATAACCGTTCTTAATTAAACATTCAAGTTTATTCTTGTATTTTTATTAAGAATCTACGAATATATTCGCAATATCTCAAGCTTATTTAGATGTTATATTTTTGTACAATATCAGTTGAAAGTTAGTGATTTTGGATGTAGGCGTCCTCTTAATACATAGTGTTTTTTTAGGATATAAATAACAAGTGACACTAAATTTTGTAGGTCAGAGTAGTGATCGCCTTCCGCAGTCATTTTTTATTGCCGAATTCAGTTCAATCAAAGAACCGACAATAGGTTCGTCACAAGGTCAATGTTTCACAATTGAATTAAATAATGTTACGTTGATATCTACAACGAAAAATTTAATTCGTTTTACATGATGACTTAATTTAGATGATTTATTTGAAAAGTGTGATTGCACAGCCCTTGTTTAGAGATAAGATTTTTAAAAACAAACAGCCTATTAATGTTCCCAATGTCTGAATGCCTTCTGGATGGAAGAAATCGAAAAAATTGAATAGGGAGAATGGGCCGTGGCCCACCACGCGGGCCCAGCGTGGATTCGTGGGTATTAAAAACTGCAGATACAGCCGGGAACAACGGTTAAACATGCCTTCCAAAGCATGGAGGAACTTACTATAATTAACTTTTGGTTACCCATCCTATAAGCGGCCATTGCGCAAGTTGCTTAACAACCGTATCGCAGATCAAGCGTGCTAACCATAACGACATAGAGCTATTAAATAAAATAAAAAACATGCAACTTATAATTGGAGTAATAATTTTATAGCTACATATCCTAAGATACAAATGGAGTAACATTCGAACAGAAATACACAAAAACGACAGATTAAAATTAGAGAAAGACACGAGCCCAATACGACTGCAATACGAAGGAGCTTGAGACTATAAGGTTAAGGTCACCCATCTCTTGGCAGTCCTTTGCAAAAGTTCCTTAGCCTCCAAAATCGTAATAAGTTCGAAATACCTGTGCTATAAATTAACTTAAAATATAAGAATACTCCTAATACACCGAGTTTCTATCACATTTTAATAGCCTTTAAACTACAATTTAGACGAAGTCTGTAACAACTTTAAAACTTTGTCTAATTTGTTCTGAGCTCTTATTCTCTCTTGTTATGACCTAGAACGTGTTCTTATTAAAATTATATATAACTATTTTCCCGCGACTTCTCTCGCATAAATTATTACCTACAAGTATAGATTAGATGACTGTTTCTTGAAAAATAAATTTTAATTTAAAAATCAAAAACTATCTAAAAAAATATATTTTCAACTAGTACCAGTGAATGTACATATAAGTAGTATATGTTTTTGAAATTAACTTATTAAGACCTTTAATTTGAAACCCATATTGTTATAATTTAGAAATATTATTTAAAAAACATGTATAGCCAGTGTTACTCGGAATATAAGGTTTCTAATGATACCCTATACATTTAATCTTTCAAACTTATGTTGGAATAATGAAACTCACATATGTACATAATATAACCCTAAATACAATATACTCCCTTTTTTGGGCAGTGGTGTAAAAATAAACCACCTTGTAACGAAATCGCCTTTTACGAAATTGTATTGTGTTAAAAATTCTTTCACGTAGAATTTTAAAAATCGGTCCAGTACTTTTGCAAACAAACAAACAATCAAAGTTTTCCTCTTTATCATACGTGACACAGGCTGTAATGTTTACAGGGAGCCTCCGCAAGCGATATACATATCTACAAGTAATACTTATCAATTAAAGAAAATTAGATTTAGATACTCAGACACAATATCCCTCTTCCATTAACCTGAATTGAACAATTTAAGATGTAGTACAATGTTTAAACATACATAAACAATACATTAAACCATAGGTGTATAGTTAATGGAAGCGCTTACACGTGAAACAGAAGTAAATAAATTAAATAGTATATAGGAAGCAAAAACTTCGGAATAAGAATATTAAATTAGCACAGTTAGAGTTGTTTGTTTCTTTTTGTACATAAAAAAATGCTTTGATATTTCATAGGGCAATATCTTTTGTATTGTTGTATATATTCGGAATTGGAGCCTACTCTGCTACTTACGTTTTGAACAATGGTATACTTCAAGCATTATTAATAATACTGTTTTTACATAGTTTTTGTTATTAGATCATAAAATAATAAACCTATCTCGTTACTATTGATTGATGAAGAAGACATTGCATTAATTAATATTAGGCTTCTAGTAGATAGTACAATGGCAAACTGTAATTAATTGAGATGCCATTGAAATGTCATTATTATCATCCCTTAAACATTGGCAGTATTAAGGCCCAAGTTACTCACACCACTGGAAAATTGGTTATCAAGACACGCGGTAGCGTGTTAGCCAAGTTAAAAAAGCAATTTTTGCTAGGATATTAAAATTTTATGAAATTAGAATCTAACAATATTTTAAAGAATAAAGATAAAGATGATAAATTATTATTTACCGATGCACGTGAAGACAAGCCAAATCTAACTTGGAGATGCTGTAGATTTTAAGTTGTTTGCTTTATTATATTTGATAAATTTTTGAATTCACAAGGCTATACTGAAAAATATTGTTAGTGAAAAATGCATAAAAAATCCCATCTCAGAGTGCCAGTGGCAAAGTGGATTTTTTAAGCAGTTTTCATCAATAATATTATTTGCTTTATTTTACTAAAGAATTTAAAATCAGCTTATAAATAAATAAATTTCAGAATTGTTTACTGAACTTGGTACCTATTTACATATCAATAATTTTGTCGGTGGAGCCGTAAATCACACCATATTGAGCTTAGAATTTGGCTATCAATTTTCAAATTTATGTTTTTGGTGGGATAATTATAACTTCAACGTATTAATGAGCAATAAAGTTATAGATAAAATATGAATTGCATTAATTAATTATACTCACCAATAAAAGCCAAAATTATCTCTTTCCAAATAGAAGCTTTTTTCACAACCTCCGTTCCGACATTTCCAGACACATCAGTCACCGTATACACCATTCTAAACAAAGACTTCTCATTAAAACAAAAACATCTTTTATATACACAAAAATACTACTCGAAATCACACTTTATCTGTCACGTATTTAAAACGAATATCAAATTACACACTCTGTAAATGTTTAATGAAAATAAAACTATTATAGCATGGTACACCAGAAGTCGCTGCTACTTTAAGACTGATAAAACGTACAAATATGAAACGTCAAACTTGTGTTTAATAGCAATTGTGTCAATAGAATGAATGGTCGCTAGATTTGTAACTACTATATTGTTATACGGTTGTAAACTGGGTAGGTACATGCGTTAACTGATATAGCCCACACTATTGACTGCAAGGGCTTGGCTACATTTGAGCTGAAGTATTGAATTGTAAATTCTTCAGTATCGCGCTGATCTTGTGTTACATACATATTTGAAACGGATTTTTTTTTTCTTTATAGTTTGAGCTATATTTTTCATGAACACTTTCTTGGCTCAAATATATTGTCTATGACAATTTAACAGTATGATCAATTACTTCTAAAATTATCTCGTGTGTTAAGAGCCCATACGACACGATTAATCAATACGATCTACTTCAGATTCATCGTAACGGCGGATCATAACAAACATGAGGCCCTTTAAATTGCGATACATGACAAAAACTTTTGATATACTCCAAAGGTATCGATAGGAGTATCTCCAACAGTATCGGTACTATCTTTTTTCTGTTCTGTGGGTTTCACACTGTCGATGGTGATAATTTTTAAAACCGTCGTCGGTATTAATAGTTTTCTTTTTATTATTTTACAACGATAGAATTGAATCTATTACTCCTAACAGGTTACTGTTACTAGTATCGATAGACAAACTATCAGTAGTTGCCACCGAAAGCGGAGTTGCCCCCGCCCAGAACAAACTGAAGAAATCTTTTGAACTAACCAGACTGCCGACTACGCTTTAGTAGGAAGAGAACGGGTACTTATTAAATTGATTTCATAAATCAGTCGAGGCGTTCTAATAAATCATTTGGAATAAAGTAATTTATAATTTTAAATTGAAGTGGATAAATTGCTTTATCGGAAATTACTGCAAAATAATTGATGGGAGAGGGCCTGGACTACATAAAATTAACTAGTCAAGGGTGAATTGGAGTTTGATTTCTAATTCTATAGGATGATGATTACAAAATGTGAGGGGATAGATGAATAGTAAGTAGACTATGTCTCTAACACTTGTTTCAATATGATATTGAAAAATATACTGTTAAACACGTCACAAAGCTCTTGGCACAATATGCGAAGACCTTCAATACTTAATTAAAATCTTGTGTTTATAAAAATAGAAACAACTAAAGTACTAAGGATAAAAATTTTAAACAGAAAATATAATTCTGAAGTCTCAATTCCAGAGGACTACGAAATCGCAGTAATGTTAAGACAATCTGGATTATCAATTAATACATAGATCATATTACATTCATGAAAATATGTGGAATGACATATGATGCTCCATAAAACATTATTTAATAATAACAATTAATGGTCTTGTTTGCTGATTATGAGGAGTGACATGTATTAATTAGGGTAGAGGCGAAGGGTGTTTTAATGAAATCTGACTATCATGTTCCAGCTTCTAAAAATAAAAGTAAGTTTTCACTTATTTAGTAACTTATCCTTATTTATCATTCAAATTTATTTATCATACTCGTGAAAAACCAGTTAGTGTATGTTCTTTACAAGCAAATGAAGCAATTGGGAAAAAATAATCTTATTGTTGGTGGGTTATCTCTCGCATTATTAAGATAGATAACACAGACGGACTTAACCACTCCACTACAGTAATACGGCAATAATGAAAGTCCTGAAATTTTTGTTGATTTTCACGACGTAAGTACGAAGAATTCGTTGAACATACCTACTTGCATAAAAAATATACATACCCGTTGAACATCGAAATTCGGACTACTTTTGGGTTTTGAACGAATGCAAAGTATGCCCGCTATCATTTGTTTTTTCGCTGAAATGTGTTGTAAATTACAATTGCAGTTGACTATGATGATGAATGAGTATGTTCTTTTTACACAAATTTTTTTGGACGATGTAAAAGTGCTTGTTATAGCCTACTTGAATAAAGATATTTTCATTTCATTTCACTGAGCTACCCAGGACCTAACAGGACTGACGAATCTTTCAAGCACTTGTTACTTTTCGCTACTACAGAGCGTATTCTCGTCAATTTTCAGGCATCCACCCAATTGATGAGAATACGCTCTGTAGTAAGACCACCTAAGTATACCTAAATATATATAAGAACGGGCATGACCCAGCCATTAAAGGCCTTGATTTTGTTGGCGCCTGACAAATATGTATTCAGCACTTGAGTCAAACGTCCAAGGAAGGCTTCTTTAATGATTTTTTTCACGGCCATCATATCTACATCTATATTTTGTGACATACCCAGGTACCAGTATGAGTCAGATTCGGAGAGGGTTTGCATATTGGATGCGAGCAGGAGGTCTTCACCTACTGATTGTTTAATTCAACCCTTGTCTTGACATAGTTGCACATTTGTCCAACCCAAAGCTCATACCGATTGAGCTACTGAATTCCTCTTGTTTCGTTTCGTTCAGTTCCTCTGATTTTTAGCATCTCTGCCAGTTTTCGTGCATTTCGGGTGAGATTATCAGTATAAAAGAGGTGAGATATTTTTGACCCTCCTCTCCTTGCTTGAAAGCCTGTCTCCGCTTTATCCAGCAAGGCTTTCAGCGAATTCAAGGTGAAGCGTGGATTTGTTGATAGGAGGGTTGAAAAGCACCCCCTTCATGTAAAAAGGAACAAAACTAAAAACTTTAGACGTAGATATACAGATTCACTCGCTACTTCAGGAGCATAAGTGAGACAGGACCACGTTCCTAACCATATATTATTTATTACTTATCGCGTAATATCCGTTGTTCCTTCACGTTTGGTCTGTCTATAATTTTCTTATTCAAAACTATCTGTTTTCCCGTAAATTATAACGTAAAGATTCCCGTAGGTGAAGGATTTTTTAAAATCATTCCAGCAGTTTCCGAGCGTATTCGATGCATACAAACAAACTATCAAATCAACAATCAAGATATCACTTTAAAATGCAAAGATCCCTCTGAACGTAGCTTGCATAGAAACTAAAACACGTATGTATTTGGAAATAAAATCAATTTTTTTTATTTTTTATTTTTATTTATAGAAACTGCTAGGTGGCGTAGTGACGATACATTGTTTAGAGAGGCGGATTAAAATTTCTTGAACTTTAAACGCTCATTACTCAAAATCGCATTTTTTGCATTGTGTCACTATCGTTCTCAAAATACGATATTAGAACCAATACAGTTACTATTACAGATTTGAATAACGTATCATATATAAAAAGTGATGTATACCCAATTGTATCCTTGGCTACAAATTGCTCACATTTTTATTAATTTAAAACTATTTAAAAAAGGCATAATTGCATTAAGAAATGATCAAATAGTGAGTCTTAGGGGTAGCTTTGTGATTCTTTTCTATAGAGAAAATATTATGAATTCACGTTTTGGCTATGATATACCAATTAAACGAAGATATAATGATGTAGTTTTGTTAACAGTTTATTTTTTCATTATTTCTTTGTACAATATCTGTTAAAGTGACTTAGCTTTAGATGCGTGTACATGGTACCCCATGTACACGCATCTAAAGCTAAATTAAATTCAAATCGATTAAAGTAATTTGGCAATTTGTAGTAACATGACACGCTGTAGACTATAATTATGTTACACGTGCCTTTGTATACGTATTTATAATATGGTAAGTAATATGATATGGTCTAATTTTCATTCGGCTATCACAAATCTGTACCCACTTAAAATTCGTGTCACAAACAAAATTGCAGGGTGTAATAAATCTTGAAAGCCGAGCAAGGCTTTCAAATTAGAGACATACGAAGCAAACGACTCGGTAACGTCTTGTTACCCACATGCTTAGAATTCTGAATATTCACATTGTAATGTTGCCTTCATAACATTCCTGATGAGAATTTCTTCCTTTGAATCTCTTTGCTGATACCTTTAGCACTGGAGGTGCAGGCTTAAGGAATTAAATTATTACTTTACCATTTCATTTGTTAAGTGAAAAAAATAAAGATTCTAATATATGGCAGGCCTATTCGATAACTCGACTGGCAGCTTAAGGTCGTAACCGTAAAAAGTGAACAATTCCAATGTGTCAAAATCACTCATTCTTATGGCCGCTTGCCCACAGAGCTCTATAAAAAAATTACTTCAGTTGTCCTCAGAGTTACAGAATAAAATGGCTGGTGAGAATGATCTAAATATATTTCTAGATAAACGTAAAATACAGTATCAAAATAGTTATTTCAACAAGTAAATAGTATTAATAATATTCATTAGTTATAAGGGAAATCTGAAATTCAAGATACAAGTATGGACAAGTGTTGCTGGTGTTGCGATAGTTTGGTTATCGATAACTGTCGTCGAAAAACGGTCACACTATGAAAAAGATAGTTGAGCGTATCGGCTTCGTTAATTGTATCTATAGTTATATAAACGTCGGAAGGAAGGGACAGTCACAGGGAAAAGAAAAGGATGGGTAGCCATTTTAGAACTTTTTGATAACGCCACGAATACAACGGTAGGGCCGAGGATAACCTAGAATGTTCTATAAATACATGGTGAACTATTCGTACCAGTCTTCTTCAGTGATCAAGCGATCTGAAAGCAAGAGTGAAGGGAAATATCTGAACGGTGAATTGTTAGTGAGTTATTTTTGTGATTTTATTTCAGTAAATAAAGTCAGATTTTGAAATTAATTCACTTTTATTTTTATCCCAAACCCCAGCTTGTAACTAACAATATTTTGTCTAGTTACACAAAAAAACTTAGAGTGAAACTAGCGCCTTATTAGTGGAGAAATTTACTAATTTACCAAAACGACGGTTTGCAATCAGCTATGCATATGCGCCATGCTAGTGAACTGCTGTCCAATCGTTTAAATGTCATAATAATTTATCTAGTAAACTAGCCATAAAAATAAATACCAAATAATGGTGGTATTCAATTGAAGGGTAGTCATTCGATTGTATGGCTATTTTAACCAGTTGGCTGCGACATTATACACCGAAATTCAAATTACTCGAAATCTCAACTACTCACGCTAACTCATTTAGGTACACTGGATTCACTAATAACATGTCAGTGACTGA